ACCCCTCACACAGATCCGCGGGGTCAGGATCCAAAAACACATGGGATTTGCCACATTTCTGAAATTCGGCGCCACCCCTTACGCAGATCCGCAGGGTCAGGGTCCAAAAACACAGGGGATTTGCCACATTTCTGAAATTCGAACCCATCACGCACATCCATCGCAAGGCGTGGTAACCCAAACTGCGAGAAATCCCTCGGCCCTTTCATCGCAAGGTGTGGTAACCAAGCCCTTAAACCATACACGTCTTACCAATCGCCAGGTGTGGTAACCCCTCTTGTGATCAGTTGGTTTTGCTGATTGCGAATCGGCTTCCCATGAAGTTTCGATACTGCTTCACGACAGCGCCAAGGCCTCATGACTTAGCTCTTCCATGGCCCATTCTCCGAGAGAGGGGGCCGGCGGCAGGGGGCGAAGCCCTTACGGATATGGTATTGACGGACTGGGGCAACCTTCAGCCGTTCGCAACCACGTATCTCCGTACCCCTTATGCCTGTCTCCGCTTCGGGCTCTGGAGTCTCGACTCGATGGCTGAACGTACAGAGCATCAGGTGTGAGTGCGCTGCCAAGGAGCACGCGCACAAGGAACGAGCACACGTTCATCGTGGTACGTAGAGTAGCGCAGAGTATTGTGGCGATGCGTTGCGTCGCGTCGCGCGGCGCAGCGATACGCAGTGTGAGCCTTGAGCCAAAGTGGCCACGGGGGGCCTCTCCTGGGTGCCTCCTGGAGGCCTCCTTGGGGGTCCTGGGGGACCCCCTGGGGGGCCTTTCGGCGCCTTTTTGAGGCCTCTTGCCGCCGCTGGCTCTGGGGGGCTTTCGTGAAGGGGAGCTGGGACACACAAATAAGTACACACAAATAGACACATCCCCCATATTTTCCTATATTTTCTGGGTTTTTGTCTTCCCCCCCACTTCCCGTATGTTCCCATATTTTCTGGGAATCGCCGATTCATTCTGTCTGTGTGTTTTTTCCCCTCATGATTTTTTTGGGAGGCCTTTTTGGAGCCCGCACGCCGCGAAGCCGTGCCGGCCCAGCGCGCCGCGGCGCGGCGGGCACCCTCACCGCGCGTGGTGCCACGAGAACGTGCCCGGCGGCACGGCCAGGCCGGTCAGGTCGCACCTTCGGCGTGTCCTCCTCCTCCTCCTCCTCCTCCTCCTCCTCCTCCTCCTCCTCCTCCTCCCTCCTCCTCCTCCTCCTCCTCCTCCTCCTCCTCCTCCTCCTCCTCACTCCCGAGGACTCTTGAGGGGGCCCGGGGCCCAACTTCGCCAATCTCGCAGGGCCTGCCGCGTGCCCCGCCCGGGCTTGCCGCGTGCCCCCTGGGCTCCCGGATGTGGTGGCGCACGACTGGGTAGTCGAAGCCAATCTGGCAGGCCCAATCTGGCAAACGGGGGCCATCTGGCGAGGGAGCCAACGCGAATCCAGTCTGGCGAATGACCCAAATCATCCAGTTTGGCCAGGCCAGATTGGCCCTTGGGACCCAATCCAATCTGACAGTCTGGCCTTCGACTACACAGTCTAGTAAACCTCCCCATAGTGAAAACGGCCTGGGACCGAAACCGACGGGCCTGGGCCCGCAAAGATGACGGCCGCGACGCCCTCGCGCGAACCGAAAACGGCCGATTCATCAATCGACGTGTCCACCTCCGACACCTGCGCGGGGCGCTCGGCATGCCCAGACAGCGGGCGTCTCGAAACAGTCGGGACGGAGGCTGTTCCTCGACTTTTCGGCCTCTCGGGGCCCTCGCCGGGCCTCGGGACCGTCAAAAAGCGCCTTGGGATGGAAAAAGCTGGTCCCGGGCAAGTGGTCGAATCGGGACGGAGGCTGTTCCTAGATTTTTCGGCCTCTCGGGGCCCTCGCCGGGCCTCGGGACCGTCAAAAAGCGCCTCGGGATGGAAAAAGCTGGTCCCGGGCAAGTGGTCGAATCGGGACGGAGGCTGTTCCTAGATTTTTCGGCCTTCGGGGCCCTTGCCGGGCCTGCGGGACCGTCAAAAAGCGCCTCGGGATGGAAAAAGCTGGTCCCGGGCAAAGGAGTGGTCGAATCGGGACGGAGGCTGTTCCTGTAGTTTTCGGCCTCTCGGGGCCTCGCCGGGCATCGGGACCGTCAAAGAGCGACCTCGGGATGGAAGGAAAGCTGGTCCCGGGGAAATGGTCGAATCGGGACGGAGCCGTTCCCAATTTTCGGACTCCCGGGCCTCGGCGAGGCCTCACGGGACCGTCAAAAAAGCGCTTGTGATGGAAAAAAAAGGGTCCCGGGGAAGTGGTCGACGAATCGGAACGGAGGCTGTTTCTAGTAGTTGTCGGCCTCTCGAGGCCATCCGCCGGGCCTCGGGGACCGTCAAAGCTGCTGACTCGGGATGGGGGTGGGCGCAAAGGGGGGGCCTTCGGCGGGAAGTGGGGCCTTCGAACGCGGAAAGGGGGGGACCTTCGGGCGGGAAGGACGGGAAGGGGGTCTTCGGACGGGAAGGGGGGGGACCTTCGGGCGGGAATGGGGGCCTTCGGACGCGAAGAGGTGGACCTTCGGGCGGGAAGGGGGTTCTTCGGACGGGAAGGGGGGGGTCTTCGGAAAGGAAGGGGCGGGTCTTCGGCGGGGCGGGAAGATATTCATGTCCACGGCGCGTGGAACCCCAGCTGGCAGCCCCAGGGGGCCCGAACATCGATCCTCCAGGCGGTGGCCACGCATAAATCCTCGCCTCGGACTGCCCGAAAGCCTGCTACACCGGCCAGAGCTCGGCCCGATCGGAGCCCCTCGGGGGACCCATCTCTGGACGAAGCCTCCTCCTCCTCCTCCTCCTCCTCCTCCTCCTTTCCTGCCACTTCCTCCTACTTTCCTCCTCATCCTCTTCCTCCTCCTCCTCCTCTCCCTTCCTCCTCTCCTCCTCATCCTCTCCACCATCCCCCTCCTCCTCCTCCTCTCCTCCTCCTCCTCGCTCCTCTCCTCCTCCTCCTCCCTTCACTCCTCCTCCATCCTCCTCCCTCCTTCCTCCTTCCTCCCTCCTCCCCCTCCCCCCCCCCCTCCCCCTCCCACACCCCCCTCCCTCCCTCGCTCCTCGCTCCCTCCCTCCCTCGCCTCCCGCCCTCCTCCCTCTCATCCCTCCTCCTCCCTCTCCTCCCTCTCCTCCCTCTCCTCCCTTCCTCCCTCCCCTCCCCCCTCCCCTCCTCCTTCTCCTCCCTATCACCCTCTCCTCCCTAACTCCCTCTCCTCCCTTCCCCCTCTCCTCCCTCTCCTCCCCTCTCCTCCTCCTCCTCCTCCTCATCCTCCTCTCCTCCTCACTCTCCTCCTCTCAGTCCCTCCCTCCCCCTCCCTACCTCCATCCCTCCCTCCCTTCCCCTTCACCTCCATCCCCATCCCTCCCCTCACTCCCTCTCCTCCCCCCTTCCCTCCCAGCCTCTCCTCCCTCCCTCCCCTCCATCCCTCCCTCACCTCCCCCCTCCCACCCTCACCCCCTCTCCCCACTCCTCCCTCCCCACTCCGTGCGCGTGTGGCGCAGCGGCCTACCACGGGGCCGAACTGCTGGCCAGCCACGCGCGGGGCTGGAAGGAGGTTGCTGCGCAGCTGAACCGCGTGTTCTACGACGTGGCTAAGGCGCTGCTCGGCCTTCCTCCGTCTGCGTCCTTCGGCGCGGGCGGCCACGTGCGCGCCTTCCTCGAGACGCGCCTGCTCACGAGGGCTGCCGCCAAGGTCGCGACGCGGACCATCACAGCGTGGGCTCGGGTGCTCCTCCTGCCGCAGGACTCGCCGGTGGCGCCAGCGATCTGGGCGGCGCTGGCGGCCAGAGGCGGCACTTGGTTGCAGGATGCTGCGGCGGTGGCACAGACGTACGGCGTGCCCGCGCCCCCGCTCCACCTGGCCGACGCGGCGGAGGCGGGGCCGAAGGCCAGGCGGCAGGCGGTTCGCTCGTGGGCCCGCGCGGCGGTGTTGCCGAAGATCCGCGAGGCGGAGCGCGCGTGGTTCTGTGAACAGCTGGGCAAGCTCAACGACAACGGGCTGCTGCCCATCGCCGAGGTGCTGCCCTTGCAAAGGCAGTGGCCCGTCGACCTTCGATGGGCCGGGTGGGGGAAGTCGACGTGGAGATTTCACAGGGCCTGGTGCGTGGCACGCGTGACCTCGGAGATCCCTGCGGACGTCTGGGGGCTTCCCCAAACGAGGCTTCCGCAGATATGCGGCCTCTGCGCGGGCGCGCCGAACAGCCTCGAACACCTGCTGGCCCAGTGCCCCGCTGGCCGAGGCCTCCGGGACGCGCTCTGCGAGCGGTGGCCCCTCGGCTCTGACGCCGTGGCCGCGTGGGTGCTGCGCGACGCGGACGCCCTCGACGCGCTCGCCGAGAAGGACCGCTACCTCGGGCTCCTCACCGCCACCCTCGTGCACGCGTGCGGGTGCGCGGGGCGCGCGGCGTGACCACGGCAAGGCGGGGTCGCACAAAAACATATTATTGCATAAGCTTACGGGTCCTCCCCGGCCTGCGGGCCCCTCCCCTGGCCTGCGGGCCCCTCCCTGGCCTGCGAGCCCCTCCCCGGCCTGCGGGCCCCTCCCCGGCCTGCGGGCCCCTCCCCGGCCTGCGGGCCCCTCCCCGGCCTGCGGGCCCCTCCCTCCCTCCCCCTCGTCGTCCTTTTCCGCCTCTCTTCCTCCTCCTCCGCCCGGCCCTCCCTCTTCTCCGTCTTCCTCCTCTCCGTACTCCAGCCTGCTGCTCTCCAGGGCCAGGTCCTGCGGGACAACGCCCCCGCCCCGGAGCCGCGGGGATATAGGCCCTGCGGGGTGTTTCCACCCGGCCCGGGATGGACGCTACCCTGCGGGGTATAACCACCTACCGAATGCTCAACCGAATGCTCCCTCCCTCCCTCCCTCCCTCCCTCCTCCCTTTCCTCCCTCTCCTCCCTCTCCTCCCTCTCCGAGGAGGTTCCCCCGGGAATCCGGATCACAGGAACCCGGAAATCTGGATTTCCGGGTTCTCGGGCGGAACCTCTTGCAAAAACCCGGAAATCCAGATTTCCGGGTTCCCGCGCCCCCCCCTCAGGCGCGCTCGTTTCTCGTTTTCCTCTCCCCCCTCGTCCTCCTCGTCCACCCTTTCCTTTCCCTGCCCTGCTCTTCCTCCTGCGTGGTTCTCCTCCTCCTCCTCCCCCTCCTCCTCGCCAGATTTCCGATTCTCGTGCGGGACCCCTTGCAAAAACCCGGAAATCCAGATTTCCGGGTTCCCGCGCCCCCCCTCAGGCGCACCCTCTTCCCGTTTTCCTTGTCCTTTTCGTCCTCCCCCCTCCAGTCGTCGTCATCATCATCATCATCATCATCATCATCATCATCATCATCATCATCATCATCAGCATCA